GCTCTCTGAGGTTTTATGTGGATGTACATTGCCTAACATTTTTGGACACCATTATGTAAACAGAGACTGCACTATGTTTTCTGGCTGCCCAGACCCAAATAATCACACAAAACTATATTAATTACAGTACGTCTTGGCCAACGGCTCAGGCATATTCCTACCTAGCTCTTATATCTTAAATTAACCCATTTCTATTATTTTATATTTTACCATGAAACTTGTGATTACCGGTAAGGTTCTGATATTTTTCTCCTTTTGCAGCTATGTGGCGTCTACCTGATTCCACCTTCTTTCCTTCTCTAGCTCTGCTTGGATTTTCTCCCCTGCCATAGGTCAGATTAGCTTCTTAATTAACCAGAGATAATAAAACATATTCACAGTATACAGAGGGGAATCTCACATCAAAACAAGGAAAAAATGATATTGTCACTTAAAAGGGAGAGTGCAAGTACAATTTTTTAAGAGTATGATAATTCAGTAGAGTAGTATGATAATTCAGTAGAGTAGTATGATAATTCAGTAGAGGAGTATGATAATTCAGTAGAGGAGTATGATAATTCAGTAGAGGAGTATGATAATTCAGTAGAGGAGTATGATAATTCAGTAGAGGAGTATGATAATTCAGTAGAGGAGTATGATAATTCAGTAGAGGAGTATGATAATTCAGTAGAGGAGTATGATAATTCAGTAGAGGAGTATGATAATTCAGTAGAGGAGTATGATAATTCAGTAGAGGAGTATGATAATTCAGTAGAGGGGTATGATAATTCAGTAGAAGAATTTTTAAATCAGTATGGAGTCAAAATCCATAGAAGGATTTAAAAAAGTAAATATTCTAGAAAATAAAAATGATGGAAGTTTTTAAGTAAAATTTGATTTTTCTGAGTAAAAATTTTAAATTAAGGAATTATCCTGAAGATGTTTCATGTGAATAATAAGTTCAGGTATGAGAAGCAAGGAAAATTGGCTGCAGGGAAGGGAACAGAGAGAGGAGAGAGAGAGAAAATATGAATATACCTAGCAGTAAAACAGAATAAGATAATTCCCCCACTGGAAGGCATTAAAACTCTATGTTGTAAACTAAGAAGATGCACTGAGTGTTCGTCATACTGTCTTAAAAGATCTCATGCTAATCTAGAGCCCGGCTGAAGGTTGATAGTCTTTACCATGATGTTGCCGTCTCAAATGATTCTAGAATTCCTGGAGTGTGGGGAGGTTGTGAGTGAGAAGTAGAAGACTTCCATCTCGTAAATGCTTTAACCCTGGCCAGCCTAGGTCATAGACTCTTCTTAGTGTTACAGAATTGGGGTATGTCACCCCCAGGTACTGAGAAAGGACAGGCAGATCCAGTATTGTAAGCACTGGAAATCCTTATCACCCACTAGGGTCAGCACTCAGATAGTCATTGGACCCACCCACATGGAAGCTAGAAAACAGAAAAGCAGTGTGCTTTTCAAGCTCAGACGGAAACTATTTTGTGGGACCTAGTTAAGTTGTCAGATAACCATCAGAGTATTAGTAGGAAACTATCATTTCAGAGGAAAAGGCTGGCAGGTCATTTTCCTCCTGTCCATTCTTTTTCATGAAATTATCATAAGTTATGTTATAATAATAGAAAGAGAATAGACCAGAAAGAGTTAGAATCCAGGGTCAGGGGCACAGTGTAGAATACAGTTGAGACTAAGGAAGTAAAATTAAAAGGCTGAGAAAAGCCAGGAGTGGTGAGGTGCAGTAAGCACAAGCACTTGGGAGGTGGAAGCAGGTGGATCTGAAATTGTAGGCCAGCCTGGGTTACATAATGAGACTCTATCTTTAAAGCAATAAAGAAAAAATGGTTAAAGGGAAGGATGGAGGTATGTGTGATAATATCGGGAACTTTGTTTCTGTAAGAACATATATTAGTTTTTAAAAGTGTTTAAGCACCTAATATAATTAATGTTGTTTAAGGAAAGAGATACAGCATATATATAACTCACATGTAAATAGTCAATAAAATACTAAGAGCTTGGTAACTTGGTACTACTGAAGATAATGGTAAAATATAAAATTGTCATGTTTAAGTTTTTTTTGGTGTGACATTTTTTTAATTTTTATTTTTTTTAAAAACTTAGCTTTTCTCATTTTACATGCCAAATGCATTTCATACTCCCTCCCCTCCTCCTGTTCCCTCTACTTTCCCCCCTCCCACCCCCTATTCCACCCCCCATTTACTCCTCAGAAAGGGTAAGGCTTCCCTTAGACAGTCAACAAAGTCTAGCACCTTGCTTTGAGACAGGACCAAGGCCCTCCCCACTATATCTAGACTGAGCAAGGTATCCCTCCAGAGAGAATGCAAGCAGTAGGGATAAATCCTGGTCTCACTGCCAGTGGCCCCACAGTCTGCCCCAGCCATACAATTGTCATCCACATTCAGTGTGCTTTGTTTGGTTCCATGCTGGTTCCCTGCTGTCAGGCCAGAGCCAATGAGTTCCCATTAGCTCAGGAAAGCTGTTTCAGAGGGTGTCACCATCACGGTCTTGATCTCTTTGCTCATATTCTCGTTCCTCCCTCTTTTCGACTATACTTTGGGAGCTCAGCCCAATGTTCCACTGTAGTTCTCTGCATCTGCTTCTATCAGTTGCTGGATGTATTTAAGATGGTCATCAGTCTGACTACAAGGCAAGGCCCATTCAGGCACCCTCTCCATAATTGTTTAGGGTCTTAGCTAGGGTCATCCTTGTGAATTCCTGGGAATTTCTCTAGTGTTAGGTGAAACTGAGTCACAGCACCAATGAAATTACCTGGTGAGAGTGAGAAGGAAGCACGAAGCATGCAACAAACCCGCTTAGAAGTTTATTCAAGGAGACATGCGCAGGCCTGGTGAAGTCAGTATGCAGAAAGAGAGGGCTGAAGACGGTGCGTCCAGCTTTTAAAGGCCACCTAGTGCATGGGCACAGGGGAATGACGTAGCTGTGTCATATGCATATGGTGGAGCTCACGCATGTGCGCCAGGGCTTACATAGCTGCGTCATACGTAGGTGATGCAACTATGCCGTAAGTAGGTCACACAGGGTCTTCTATTTTGCCCGAGCGCTTGTTCTCACATGTGTGGCCCTGGAACCCAGAAGTGCCAGCCATGCTGTGTGGCTAGAATCATAGCATTAGGGTTCTTGCTAGCCCCATAATGGCTCCCTCAATCAAGATATCTCTTTCCTTGTTCTTTGTCTCTGTCCTTCCCTGCTTCTCGACCAATCAGTTCCCTCTAGTTCTTCTCCCCCATCTCCTCCCCTCTTCCTCCCCTTCCACCTTCTATTTTCCCCCCATCCCCATGCTCCAAATTTTCTCAAGATCTTGTCCATTTTCCCTTCCCAGGGGGTTTTATATATATTTCTCTTAGGGTTCTCCTTGTTACTTAGCTTCTCTGGGGTCGAGGACTATCGGCTCCTTATCCTTTGCTTTACAGCTAATATTCACCTATGAATGGGTACATACCATGCTCATCTTTCTGGGTCTGGGTTACCTCACTCAGGATGGTTTTTCTAGTTCCATCCATTTGCATATAAATTTCAAGATGCCATTGTTTTTTACCGCTGAGTAGTACTCCATTGTGCAAATTACCACATTTTATTTATCCATTCTCCAGTTGAGCAACATCTACGTTGTTTCCAGGTTCTGGATATTACAGATAATGCTTCTATGAACATAGTTTCACAAATGTCCTTGATTAATGTCTACAGTGGAATTTTTTCCTTGAGTATATTATTTAAAAATACAAATGTAATAGGCAGGCATTAATACCATCACTTTGAAGGTGGGGCAGAAAGACTTTGAGTTTCAGGCTACCCTGGGCTTCGTAGTGATATACTGACTCAAAAAACCTAAATTAAACAAATAAATATATACAATTAATGGGGAAATGGTTAAAAGTTAATGCTTGTAGAAGTGCATTTTAGGAGTGGAGTAGAGTAAGACAGAGAACAGATAGGACAGGTTAGACATCATGTCTTCTAGGACTAGTGCCTCTTCAAAAGTGCAAAGTGGATCTGGTGGCATAAGTCTATATTCCCAGCTACCTGGGAGGGTGAAGAGAAGAATCACAAGTTCAAGGCCAGTGTAGGCAACTTATGTCTCAAAATAAGATGTAAAAGTGCTGGGCATATTGCTCACTGGTTATGTATTTGCCTGTTCTATACAACTTTCTGTCTTCAGTCCCCCAGAAGAACCTATCTTTTTTTTTTTTTAAGAAGGGCAAATAAACAACCTGTAAGAAACGGAAGGGACTGGGCAACGAAGAGTTTGTGGTGGTGTTGGTTTTAGTCATTGATTGGTGGGTCAGACTAAATTGCAGTCAAAGTCAAAGAACAAAAAACTTGTTTTTCATAGTACAAAGGCATTGATTGAAGGACACCAGCTGACATAGGAGTAAAGAATAAAATATACAGAATAGATATATTATCTGCTTTGGTGACATGCAGAATGTGAAAAAATGACTTCAAGTAAATTGTGAAAGTATATTAAATATTTACAGAGAGTACTCGATAAAGCAAAACGTTATTTTTTATTTCTTCTAAATAGCTAGCTCTTCTAAAATCGTCTATTTTCTTGATGTAAGTTATACAGACTCTTCTGAATTGTGGCGGCAGGAAAGAGTGAGCCGGCAGTAGAGCATTGCTTCTCTTCCTTAAGAGAACTGCCTTCTCGGGATTCCTTTCCACCAAACCCACTGCATAAAGAGATCACATTGTTTCTTTTGAGACCTTTACAAAGGTCTAGACTTTACAATATGATGATATCTAATGAAAATGGAAAGCATATTCTTTCTCAGTTTTCTGCATTCATTTGACTGTTCCAAGGAAGTTCGCTTCTCGAGTTCCCTTTCTAGGTTCAAGCTTTTTGTTGAAGCTCAGTCACAGGGGTAATGCTATCGTCTTTAAATTTGGTCATGGAATGTGTTACGGTGCTCCACTCGGGGAATGAGGCTCTGTTTGAGCTTGGTTAGTAACGTTTATTTTCTTTGGCAGAGAAGCTGATTGTCCAGGGGCATCTAACCAAAGTGGCAGAAGAATCAAAGCTTTCAAAAGGTTTGTTTCCTGTTTCTCTGTGGTCTGACAGTTATTCTGGATAATGAAAGTTAGTTTAAATTGTCAAGGTTGCTGTATTTTAGCCATGAGTTATTTCTTATAGTGCATGAAATGTCAATCTAATACAGTATCAGATATTTATAAATATTTCGATGTCTGTCTTAAAAACTAGGAAAGTTTCTTTTAATGTTGGCATTTGTGTGTGGTTTTAAAGTTAATGCTTGCGGTAGATTTGCTTTTCACCTTTCTGTCTCATTTCTACATTGTTTTCAGTTTTCATCTCAAAATTTCAGTCAATACAGTGCAAACCTTTTATGAGTAAAAAATAATTAAAATTTTATTTTGAAAATTATTGTATCTTTAATGTTTCTTATGATATTCAGTATTTCTCTATTTTGTTCTCAACTTTATTAATACAAAAGTGATGACTTTTGTCAGTATAAAATTGTGTTATATTTGATAATTAACAGTCCAGTAATTCTCCAAAGTAGTTTTTTTTTTCATTCTTTCTTTTTTAATTTTATTACAGTTGTTGAACTCAAGGAAGAAAGCTCAGGTTTCAAGCATCACGACGCTATTTTTAAGTATAGGAAAAGTATTTCCATAAACCTGGTGGGTGTGCTTTGCTGTTAGAGTGGAGCTTTCCTCAGACTTTGTTAGCATAAAATTAAAAACGAGCTTCACAAAGAAAGTCAGCTCCACAACAAAAGCTCAGATTTCAACATTTAAGTCTAGTGTATTTGGTATTGTCAGGGTAACTGATTTGCTTGTTTTTTAAAGTGTTTTTAAGCAGATTGTATTTTTCGAACGTCTGGTAGTGCACATTCTAAGTTTTGTGCACAGTGGATGCCATATTAGGAGGAAGAATGCACAGACTATGCCATGCTAATATTGTTCTGGCAAACAGGCATTAGGTTTCAGAATGGTGAACTATTTTTAGTACAGATGCAATTTATTTCATCTTATTAAAGTGCTATGAGAACAGGTTTTAAAATAGCCTTTACTTCACCATCTAAGTGCCTGTTCTAATCTGTTGATTGAGTGACTGACACTTCGCCCTGGAAGCAAAGCAGAGGGCGAAGGTGACTGGCACTTTCTTAGGAAAAGTGCCTTGCTGCCTTAGAATTTCTGTGCATTCCAGAATAGAATATATTTGCTTGAATCAGGTGAAGTTTTAGAGAAAGATGTGCACAACATTACTGATTTGAGAAAATGATGGGTTTAAAATGCATATAGAAAGTTTTGAAGAACCTGTTTTGATTTCACATTTCTACTTTTGGGTCTTGGTTTTGTTTTTGTTTTTTTGAGAAAAGCTCTCACTGTGTAGCTTTGCTTAACCTTGAGCTTCTGTCTCAGCATCCCAAGTGCTGAGATTACAAATGGGAATGAATGCATTTGGCTGGATTTTTATCTTATGGAACAAGCTGGACAAGTGTTCAAGGTTCTTTGTTTCAGGCTGATATTTATTAAACCTATTACGTCAAATAATTCCATGAAAGTGAGTTTAATTCATTTTCCAGGAATGATAATATAAATATAAGCTTTACTTTTTATTAATCAACTTTTGTTAATACTTTTCATGTTGCCAGAATCCTGAGACCAAGATGGGTGGCCATATAGTTATATTTTAAATGTTTTCAATCTGGCTATAAAATATTTCCCTTAAATTTGACTAAATTATTTGTCCTTTAAAAATGCATTTACTGATTTTTGTGGTGGACTTTTTTTTTCCCCAATGAAAATGACAGTTGCTAAGACTAAATTATTCCTCTGAAGACTTCACTTAACATGGCATATAATCATGTCATGTGTGCTTTCTGATTTAGGACTAGCTCAAGCTACTGTCATTACATATCCATAGTAGCTTAGAAGTAAAAGGAATATAAGTAGATAATTCTACTAACTGGATATCCTCAGGCAGCTCACTTTAGATCTGTTTTGTTTTGTTTTGTTTTTCCAGACTCAACAGCTGAGACTGAGCATTGCTCTTCCAGTGAGCCTGGGTTCCGTTCTCAGCATCTGCCTTGGGCTCACTGGAAGAGCAATGCTCAGTCTCAGCTGTTGAGTCTCCTCTCTAGCTCTAGTAATAACTTTTTTAATACTACAGGCTTGGATACTGCCGCATGACCAGAAATAGATGTTCTGTCATTTGTTTTGTTCTGTCTGCTGTTTTATTCTTGAATAGATTTAGTGACGTTAATAAATATCTTCATGCACCCATCTCTAGCAATAAGCATTGATTGATATCTTTGTTATATATGCTACTAGAGCTTGAAAATACACGTGTAACAAAAACTTCATAGCTTGCTGGGTCTGGGCTGTAATCCCAGCACTTACTAGCTGAGGCAGGAGATCCATGAGTAAGAGGTAAGCACAGGGTACACATGAATCCCTGTCTCAAGAAAGAGAACAGGGGGTAAGGGGAGAAGTAAAACGTAACAAAATCTCTAAATATATTTAACTAAATATGCAAATATTTTAAATCTCTTTGTGTATGTGTGTGTGAATTTTATTTACTGTTCTTTACTTTTTAGTTAGTAATATTAAGTATTTTCAATACATATTTTATCTTCCCATAATGATAGTGAGCATCCTTATGTAATACCTGACATAATCCATTATTTCCTTGGGGAGTTTACACATTTTATTTATTAGATTTATTAATTATGTATGTATGAATATTACTCTGCATGCATGTATGTGAACCATATATGTGTCTGGTGCCCACAGAGGCCACAAGGGGTGTTGGATCCACAGAACCTGGAGTTATAGTTGGTTGTGAGCCACTCTATTGGTGCTGGAACCAAAGCAGGATTCCCTACAAGAGTAGGAAATGCTCTAAACTGCTGAGCCATCACTCCAATTCATGGTTTTGCATATTTTAAATTTTGATGTATATTGTCACTAATGGTACAGTCAGATATATGCCATGGTTATTTATGATCATGAAGATAGTAATCTACTTAATGAATACGATTATCTTATTAGAAAAATAGCATCTATATAGTCCCAGAAAGTGGAGTATGATCAGCGTCGGGGGAATGGTGACACAACAGAGAAGATATAATAAAAAGTAACATACTAGAGAAACAATTAAAGTAATGAGATAAAAGCCATACCTACAGCGTGGGCCAGATAGGGAAAATGGCTGTTGAGGTTAGGGAAATGTCGATTCAAGCAAAGAACTGTAGACTGTAGTGAGCTGTTATACAGAGCCCTATAAAGAAACCTACATAACTGAACTCCTGTGGGAATCAATACGGGGATGACAGTAGGGCTAAACTTTGCGGTATGAAACTTAGCTGATTCCTAGACGTGATGGTATAAAGTTTTGGCTGGGGGAATGACCTTTTATGAAATCCCTGTCCTAAAGAATGCCATAGAATGTATAGATATGCTAGTATAATGATTGGGACTTAGTCACTCACATCTTCAATAAACTGTTGGCTATGATTGAACACTGAGAGCAATGGCCTAGAATGACTTGGTCAGATGTGGCAGACTAACTCTTGAAAATACCACCGGAACATTTGAAACAGGCTCCCCTTCTTGTTGTAGTTCCCATTCATTGTGTTTGCTTTAGAAATGGGCTCCTCATGTTAAGGGGAACTTTTATAATTGTGAGTTTTGGGTGATTTTTGTGGCTCTGCACTGTTAAGCTTCCAGTCTTTTCCTTCAGTCTTCTTCATACAATGTCCTCATTGGCCTGGGAATTTTGCTGCGTTTGTCGAGCTTGCTTGATTACTGTAGCAAAGCTTGCTGCATTTTTGTTCCCAGCTGATAAGTAGACAGACTTAAATAAGAGCCCCAGCCCTTGGCATAGCAGGCAGGAGCCACAACACGATCTGCTGCGACTCTAAGAAATCAACCAGCATTGCGTTTTGGGTGGGAGGTGAAGAACAAGGAGACTCAGCGATCTCAACTGATTTTTAGCACTCTTTTGCATAGATTCTGAGCATTCATACTGAAAGTGGTTTTCTTGATAGAAGTGTTGAATTATAATAACATTTGACTTTTGTGCTTTTCCTAATAGAAAACCAGGCAAGAGCCAAGGAATCTGATTTATCGGACACTCTGAGTCCAAGCAAGGAAAAGAGCAGTGACGACACTACAGGTGAGTTTAGCCTAGTGTTTACCAATCTGAACAGTCTCTTGGCAATTTAGGTTTATTGGTTACTGTGCATAGAAACTTCAGAGTTTGTTTTTAATAAAAAAAGCATTGTTTTTACTTATCAGATCCCTCTATAAAATCCTGGATATTTTGTTAAAACTAGTTTCAACTATCCAAGCATAGAGGATGTATACTTTGTATTTGTTATGATAATAATAATTTGCTGATAGATTTTAAAATTCTATAATTCTCTTTCTCCCCATTATAGACGCCCAGATGGATGAGCAAGACCTAAATGAACCCCTTGCTAAAGTGTCTCTTTTAAAAGGTACTTTAATGTGTTTTCACCACATTTTAAACCAGGATTTTAGACTCACCTTTTGCCACAAATTCTGTTTTATATAGGTGTGAAGCTTTTCATTTTAGTTTACTGATTTAAAGCTGTCTAAAGTAGGAGGAATTAAAATTTAAAGTGTCGGTGCTTGATGCTTGCTAAAAAATACATATACACATTTAAATTACAGGCTAACTTGAGTCAGCGAAGACACAGCAGTGAGTGGCTGAGTCTGAAATGCAGTTGTGTCTGTGTTTTCCCTTGTGTTTCTAACAGAAGCACATTCACATGTTTCACATAATTAGGGTAAGGTAAAGTTCTTAGCTGGCTAGAAGGAATTATGTATCCTTTCTGCTGTCAAATTGTAGTAGATGTCCTTAAATTTCAAACTTTGCTGGTCTTCCTCATTTCCCGGTAATTATCTAGTTCTTAAGACTCTTTGAGAAATTTGGAGGTAAGACTTTGTTTTTCTTTTGCAGTTTTGTTATTTTCCTGTCTCTCTTCTCCTCCACCTCCTTCCATGCTCCACCCATTCCCTCTCATTCATGTCATCTTTTCCTTTACTTATTGCTGTCACATGTGCACATAAGAATACATGAGTGCGACCTGCATAGTCTGTGTAGTGCAGCCTGCATGCGTGTGGTTTCAGGGCTGAGGACTTAGTGATTGGCTGACCAGTTAGGCCTCATCCTCAGGGAGGAGAGTCTCCATTTCTCACTGAGCTGAGATGCTGTGGTGAACCTTTCTAACGTGTCCCACCCCAAAAAGGAAGGATGTTTATTTCTTGGTAGTTAGTCTTAGAATAGAGTGGATAGGAAATATCAATGATTTACATAAGTATTTAAAAATAAAGTGTCTTGGGGGAGGACTTGTTGATAAACCTCTCATCCTGAGCGTGTACTGGTTTTCGTTGCTGACCTTCCACAGCGTTTCAGTCCAGTGGATGCGTATGTGGGCAGTGGGGACCCAGCACCAGTCAGGAAGCTCTCTGGGAGCAGAACAGCAGCGGTAGCTGGAGAAGGTTTCGTGGACACGTGCCTATTGTTTTAGTGGGAACATGAAGGGACCTCACAGCCCAGGCTCTGGATTTTGAGACGGAGGGAAGGAGGCTTAGTTTACCTTGCATGACCCTGTCGTTTGCTACTTGTGTAACCATGACAAGAGAGGGAATCTGAGTGACTCAGTGTTCTTTCATCTGGACATCCTTACTTTCTTTCTCCTTCTCCATGGACACGGGAAATCACATGGCCCCTGGAACTAGTTTTGACTGAATTCCATAATCCAGGGAAGTTGCTGAGGATTGCTAACCCAGGCAGCCAATGTGTCCTTCAGTCTGATGCGCTCCCTTTGCTTACTTATCTGTACTAGGTGACTCTTGGGTGAGAAGGCATGATTGTTTTCATGTCATAGTAATTAAAATGAATGAATGTTTGCAGTTTATAAATCTTATAGAAATACAAAAATATTATTATAAAAGAGGTTATTGATACTGGAAAAAAGGAATGAGGTCATTCAGCAGCTCAAGGCCCTGGGTTTTAAGATTCTCTGCATGCAAAAAAAAAAAATAAACAAGTAAACAAACAAGCTGGCCCTGGGAAGGGGAGCTCTGTTAAACAAAGAGGCAAAAGAGCTGGCTGGGCAAAGGAGAACAGAACCTCAGTGCTTTATGGGAACATGAAAAAATAAGGAAGGAAATTTAAGTAATAAACACTCACAAAGGTTGCAGTTTATATGGTCTTTTATGCTCATAAAGCCTTAAATATTTTTGTCAGCTAAATCTGGATTTTTAAGTAGCATTATGATTGTGTTAATTATATTCAACTGTTATTAATGTTTTTTATTTTAATTTATTTCTAATTATGTGTATGTATAAATAGAGGAAGGCCCCCAACATTGACCTCTGGTCTCTATATTCACAAATACGCATACATGTGTGCATGCGTGTATCCAAACATGTATACACACGTATGAACACATATATATCCATACACCATGCACATTCTCATGTACGAACATGTACATATATGCACACATGCACTCACCCACACACATCCCCTCTTCTTCCCTCCCTCTCTCCTTACATTTCTGCATGATTGTTAACTTTTGTTAATGAAATAGTATTTTTTAAAAGATTTATTTATTTATTATGTATACAACATTCTGCCTGGATGTATGCCCGCACGCCAGAGGAGGCCGCCAGATCTCAGTACAGATGGTTGTGAGCCACCATGTGGTTGCTGGGAATTGAACTCAGGACCTCTGGAAGAGCAGCCAGTGCTCTTAACCACTGAGCCATCTCTCCAGCCCCCTGAAATAGTATTTTTAACAATAGCTGTTCAAAGATTTTGAAGCTGCTTGTGATGTCAAGATTTGGGCAGGCAGGGGAATAAGGAACCCAAGGCCATCTTCAACTCTGTAGCAAATTTAGAGGCCCATCTGCCTCTCAATAAAATAGAAAGGTTTTACAACTTGATTTTTTAAAGTTATTTTTTGGTTTATTTTTAATTAAATATGTGTGTGGGTAAGTGAACATGAGTGCAGGGACCTGTGGAGTCTAGAATAGGTTATCCGATTCCGTGGATGTGGAGCCACAGGAGGTTGTAAGTTGCCTGTTGTAGGTGCTTGGAGCTGAATTTTGGTCCCCTCTGAACACTCTGAATGCTGAGCCATCTCTCCAGTGCCCTGCAACTTAATTTTTTTTTGTTTTTTTGTTTTTGTTTTTGTTTTGTTTTGTTTTTTGAGACAGGGTTTCTCTGTGTAGCTTTGGAGTCTGTCCTGGAACTATCTGTAGACCAGGCTGGCCTCGAACTCACAGAGATCCACCCACCTCTAACCTCCCAAGTGCTAGATTAAAGGTGTGCACCACCACCCATCTCATTTTTTTAAGAACAGAATGTTAACAGACTAGAGCAATGACACAGTGGTTAAGAGCACTTGTTGCGCTGGAGGACTCAAGTTTTGCTCCCAGCACCCACACAGTGGTTTACAGCTATTCATAACTGGTTTGAGGAGACCCAGTACCCTTCTGAGTCCTCTGGGCACCAGGTGTGAGTGTGGTGTGAATGGACACATGGAGGAGAAGAAGCACTCGTGCACATAGAATAGAGTTGAGTCATCACGTGCTTCACTAGGAGCAGGAAGGCTTATCAAATTGACAAGAAATCATCACCATTACTTCAAATGGTGATTATTATTTTTCCTTTGTAAGAGTTTTATATATTCCTAAAGTGACTTATTCCCTGTAACTTACTAGAAACATTTAAATTGTGCTTTATTATGTGTGGGTATGGTTTGTAATCTGTATAATTAGGTGCAGTAGCTGTCAGAATTTTCTGTCATGGTATGGGGTACTCAGAGTTGAGAAGTTTCTCAAGCTTGCAGTACTCCCAGCTTTCTGAATGCTGGGATTATAGGGGTGCACTACCACACACAACTTGGAATTCCCTCTTAAAGGACGAGGAGGGTAAATTATCAGACTCAGCCTATAAAAGAAAAGATAAAGAAAATAAGTTAGACTGTAGAAGGCTTGCATTTACCCTTTTCTTAGCATTTTTAACTAATGTTCATTACCAGGTTTTCCCTGGGTTATGAAGCAGATTGATTAAAAAAACTCCTCTTTTTAGAAAAAAAAAAAAAAAGTAGGGCATCGTGAGAGTGGGCTTAAACACGACAAACTAAACTAATAAAACACTTTTTCCAGCAGACCTTGTGAAAAACAGATGCTTAGTCAACCTTAGCACAAAAAGATTTCTCATTAGTCTTTGATACAAAGCGGCTCCTGGTTGTTTACAGGAGGATTTGCACACTGACTGTGTGATCAGTTTGAATGTGGTCGTTTGTGTGCATTGTAAAGATTTTAGTCAGTAGTAGTGGTACTACTTCTGTGACCACATGCTCTGAAGTTTGTGTTTGTGTGATTTGATACATACCATCTTGTATGTGAGCTGCCGAGTCACCTTTCAGCCCACTGTAGGTTTTAATACAACACAGATGAGCAGCAGAGTGACTGGAAGGGAAGGTTAGGAAAGTGCATACTTGCGATGTCGTGCTGGAGTAAACTGATTATAGTTAAGTCGCTGAGGTTTATCCGTTAATAATCCAGGAGTATGTTTATCTGCTATGATGTGAAATTGGGTACAAATTAGATACAATGTGGAGCATCCATCCAGTTTAGTTTTTATTGTGTTTTGGGGGTTGACAGGTTCTGTTTTTTAATTTTTAAAAATTAAACTATAACTACTTTGTTTCCCTCTTACCATCCACTCCTTCCAACTCCTACTATGCCACCTTCAAATGGCTTCTTCTTTAAATACACACAGACACACATACAGCATACACACACATTTCTGTTTTGTATTCTACAAGTAACATTGCTATAATATTTTTTAAACTTTTTGTTGTTGTTGTTGTTGTTTTGGTTTTTTGCTGGCACGCCTTTAGTCCTAGCATTCAGGAGGCAGAGACAGGTAGATCTGATGCCTAGTTTGCATACTGAGATTCAGACTAGACAAGGATACAGATGCTCTATTTCAAAAGAAATACAAAAACACACAACACACAAAAACACACCTGCACCAAAAACAAGCAAACCCCAAAATCCAGAAGTTGTTTTGTTTTTGCTTTTATTGTTGTTGTTTGTTTTTACTTAGTTTATTTGTTTGTTGGGGATGAAATGGGGAGAGGCATGCATGTGGATTAACAGGACAACTCTTAGCGAGTCTATCCCTCTTGCTATTCCCTGGTTGAACACAGATTCTTTTTTTGTTTATTTGTTTGTTTTGTTTTTTCAAGACAGGGTTTCTCTGTAGTTTTAGAGCCTGTACTGGAACTAGCTCTTGTAGACCAGGCTGGTCTCGAACTCATAGAGATCCGCCTGCCTCTGCCTCCCAAGTGCTGGCATTAAAGGCATACGCCACCACTACCCGGCCCTGAACAGAGATTCTTGTGTCTGTTTAGAAATGCCTCTACCCGCTGAGCCTTGCTAGTCCTCATTTCTTTGTTGAAGAATTTCTTTTCTTTTTCCATTTTTATTTAAGTTCCAAGTAAAGTTTTTTGTCTTAATGTTAAATTTCAAGATTGATGGTGAAGGATCTGGAAAGAAGGTTCCCATGGTAAATTAGGAACTTGCTGCCAAGGCTGATGACCTGAGTTCAAGCCCTGGGACCCCCATGGAGCAGAAGAGCTTACTTCCTTATGTTGTCTCCTAACTCCTGACCTCTACATATGTACTGCGCGTGCGTGTCACACACACACACACACACACACACACATACACACACACACACACAGGAACAACAATAGTAATAGTAAATGCCCTTTGAAAATTGATGGATGTTATGCCTATCTCACCAAATTTCAAGTTTTACAGGGGCTGTACATCAGCACAATATATGTTAATTTCTGTATTTTATAGTACTGGTATCCATGTTAACTCTATGTTGTTAAAGGTAAAAATAACTAATAAGCTTACTCTAATTTGCTTCTAAGTTTTATTTAACTCAGTTGTGCCTTGTGATTAGCTGTGTGTGTCTAAACATGAAAAAGAATGCCAGATTTAACTATAGAGATTATCATGCAGTACTAACACTTGTCTTTAAAATAAACATGTTTTTGTCAGATGACTTGCAGGGTGCACAGTCAGAAACTGAGGCCAAACAGGAAATTCAGCATCTTCGAAAAGAATTGCTCGAAGCCCAGGAGCTAGCTAGAGCAAGTAAACAAAAATGCTTTGAACTTCAAGGTGAGATCAAGATCTCTGCAACTCTGTGGGGGCCTATGAAAGCAGCAGAGTGTGATTTGAAGTCACAAAACTCAGAACCCAGAGGGCACTGCAGGGTCTCCAGAACCAGGACTTTGTGAGACTCTTCTCCCACATCCACTCAACCTTCTAAGCTTCCATTTCAGATGGTAAAATGAGAACGGGGGAGTGGTAGTGCGCACCTTTAATCTCAGCTGCCTGGAGGCCAACCAACCTGGTCTAGAGTGAATTCCAGGACAGCCAGGGCTACACAGAGAAACTCTTATCTCGATACTCCACCCCACCCCACCAGCCCCTCACTCCCCACCACCCACCCACAAGAAAAAAAAAAAAAAGAACACTTTACCAACAAAAGGTCTCCTCCATTGTTAATTACATAGTAATTTTAGGCTGAATGTCCCTTATCATAATATTCCAAATTTCAGGTTTTTTTTTTTTTTTTGGATGTGAGGTGCCCAATCAATCAGTGCAGCACAAGACACGGGGAAACCCACAAATTGAGCCATACCTAATAGTAGTGCTCACTTTGGGGTGGGGCATGAAGTAGTGGGCAAGGTTTGAGGTGTAGAATCTTCCGAGCTGAGCACAAGTTTAATGCCAGCCTGGGTAGATAGACTCCCTCAAAAAAGGAAATATAAAAGAAAAGAAGAAGAAAAAAGAACTAGAATCTTCTCATCTTGGTCATTTCTCCTCCTTGTGGCTCATGTATCTGGTAATCATTGGCCAGTAGGGAGGCTGGAGCTTATGCTTCCTTAGCCTTCTGGTATTTGCCCTTGGCAATGAAATTCTCAGAGAGCCTAAGATATCATGGATTCTTGTGGCATCCTTAGGTTTCATAGAAGCCTTTCCTGAGCAGAGGAACAACTGAAATGCCAAGAACCTGGAATCTTCTGAGACTGTTTCCTTTCTTTACTTATTATTGTCTTGTGTTCCTAAAATCTTGTTGACTAATACTGATAATACTTATCATCTAACTCTTGTATGTTTCAATAAACTATAAAAAGAAAACTTTCAGAAATTTCTAGCTGTGCACTTGTGAATGCTTTTCATTAACTTACAATATTAGATGCTCTTTTTTTTTGTTTTGTTTTTGCTTTTTAGCTCTTTTGGAAGAAGAACGTAAAGCCTATCGAAATCAAGTTGAGGAATCTGCTAAACAAATACAGGTTCTCCAAGGTATGGGGTATCCCGAGACTGCTAGAGATGGCTATGGTTATCCTAGGGTTCAGTGATTGAAAGGGAATGAAAGTAAGATTGCCGAGAATCCTCAGTTGTCATGGCTCTGGTTCTTCCCTAGAAACCGTCATACTGGGCTTCTGGACAATTTTCCTTTAAAGGAGATAAAGGAAGGGATTGTCCCAGGAACCCATTGTTTATACTCTGGAGTCATAAAGGCAGGGGTGATGCTAATTGTGGTGGTGCATGCCTGTGGTATTGGCACTCAAGATAGGAGGCAGCAAGGTCATGAGTTCAAAACCCACCTCAGCTACATAATGAATTTGAGGTTTACCTTAGCTAAATAAACCTTTGTCTCACTCCCTCACCCAAAATATTTTCATCAGCAAGAGGATAGAGAAATATATATTACATACAAACATACATATGCATCCCTTTCTACTTAATGTTTGTTTTTCTATCTATATGAAGGTACTGGAAAGACAAAGAGAATAAATACCAAAATATTAACATAAGTCTCATCCTCATCTCTGTGGGGAAAATAAAATTTACTTTAGCTTTTGGCTTTCCCCATTTGCATCTGTATTTTGGCATTTTATGTGTCTAACGTAAGTTGCTTGTGTAATTTCATCAAACAGCTCTGACAAGCTGCATACTAGATGTGTCCTGTAATGTGTTGTAGTTTTGTTCTTAATTCTGTGACCTCAGAAAAGATAGATAATACAGACAATACACTTTTACAGTCCAGCTACAGAGGTTGCATGTGGATATGGAGAATCTGCAAGAGGAAAAGGACACTGAAATCTCCAGCACAAGAGATAAATTGCTTAATGCCCAAGATGAGATTTTGCTCCTTCATCAAGCAGCAGCAAAGGCTGCTTCTGAGCGGGACACTGACTTTGCTTCCTTACAAGAAGAGCTTAAGAAGGTGAGAGCGGAACTTGAGAGCTGGAGGAAAACAGCATCAGAATATGAGTTAGAAATCACGAGTTTACAGAACAGTTTCCAACTTAGATGTCAGCAGTGTGAAGACCAGCAGAGAGAGGAGGCAACAAGGTTGCAAGGTAAGTGAGTGCTTAGGCATAAAGCTCCTAACTCTTGCTTTCAAGGAATAGGAGGGGGTGGCCCTTCGTTCATGTTGTCCCAGCCCACAATTCATGGTAGCAGTGATTTCTTTGATAGAAGGTAACTGTGTAAGCCAGGGCTCCTGTGTTAGGGTTGTAGGTACATTGGGCAGGTCTACAGGTTCTGTGATAAGTGTATTTTTACAGGCACATACTATTAATTCTTTATAATGCTATTGAGGAGTATATGTCATAATAATGGTATACACCAGCCGGGCGGTGGTGGCGCACGCCTTTAATCCCAGCACTCAGGAGGCAGAGGCAGGCGGATCTCGGTGAGTTCGAGACCAGCCTGGCCTACAAGAGCTAGTTCCAGGACAGGCTCCAAAACCACAGAGAAACCCTGTCTCGAAAAAAACCAAAAAAAAAAAAAAATAATAATAATAATAATGGTATACACCTATAATCCCAGCACCTAGGAAGTAGAAACCAGAGGATTGTGAGTTTAAAGCCTGCCTGGGTTATATCCTGAAAGTGTATGTCAAAAACAGGCAAACATTAACATTGTCTTAAAACAATGAAGTGGAACACGTAATGTCATTGCTCAGGAGGCAGAGGCAGGTGGTGCGCTGTGAGTTTGCGGCCATCCTGGTCTACATAGAGCCTTCCCAGCCAGTCTCTGAGCTACACAGTGATCTCCTAGCCCATAAACAAACAAACAGTGAAGTAGGAAAAGAAACACTGTTTTTTAAGGTGACGGCATCTCTTTGAGCTATAGAAGCAAAGTGACAGGGATCAAAGATTGCCCTGTAAAAACCCACCTGCTCTTAAGAGGGGAAATGTGTTCTCTGAAGTGTTACTCTGTCTCCTTTGAATACAGTGTTTTTTGGTTTCTATATTAACAAATACGTTTTGTGGCTCTTTTAGGTGAACTAGAGAAGTTGAAAAAGGAATGGAATGTACTGGAAACTGAATGCCATTCTCTAAAAAAGGAAAATGTTTTGTTGTCATCAGAACTGCAGCGGCAAGAAAAAGAATTGCACAAGTATGTAAGAATTTCCCTTTAACTTAAAAATATTTGTTTTTAATTTTTATGAAAATTAAATTTTGATACTTAGATATTTTGGAGTCAAATGTTCAGCCAAACTGGTTATTTGACAAATTAAACATAGTAAGTATTACATCGTTTCATTCCATTTTACCACCGTTTCCTGTAAGCAAGCTCCTTTCAGAATACCCTCGAATTCAGATCCAGTTAGAGGCCCTACTGTACCATTCCTCACAAGCACAGATCCAAACCAGAAGTTTCCCAGTTAACAAAATGACAGTACATTTCACATATAAAATGGCTGTTCTTTCACTCCACTGATCTTTAGTGAGAGCAGTGATCTATAACAAACAAAGAATTTATCTCAAGAGGGATAAATTTAGCTTCTAATCTACACAGGCTGTGACTTGGAATGTAGCAGACTTCTAGAGGACTTGAGGCCATGGGTTCTATTCCTAGCTTAAGGGAGGGAGATGATAGAGAGATTTCAAGAGAATAACATTGAACCCATAGCTTGCTGAGCCTGTCTAGCCGAAAAAGAAAGCTTCAGGTTCAATAAGACCTTGTCTCTAGAAGATGTCTGACACTGATTTTGATCTGCCCTTATGCAGGAATAGATGCATACACTGTTCATATACATGTACAAACATACATACAACACATATCTTGATACATATACATAGGACACACACACACACAGAGGACTAATCTATATGGTGGCACACCCCGTGATCCCAGCACTACGTGGGAGACGGGCCAGAGGACCGTTCAGTGTCCTTTTGAGCTCCACACTTTGTAGCCTTATCTCTACTCCTCACCCCTCCCACATCAGTAAGGAAATGCCCGTAGGAACTAGATCTGCCGGTTTGTTCTCTACAGCACCTCATTGTAATGCTGCAAAACCTCAGCTTAAGGATCCGTAAAGCACTTTGATCTTCCCTCTTTTTAAGATTTTATATACTTTTATTTTATGTATGTATGTGTTTTGCCTGTATATAAGTAAGTGTACCTGCGCGTGTATGTAGTACTGGAGTCTAGCACTATAGTCACTTCCTGGATCTGGAGTGGCTGAGAACTGTCATGAGGGGCTGGGACCCAAACGTGGGTCCTCTGGAACACCAGCAAGCGCTCTTAACCACTGAGCCATCTCTTCAACAGCTGAATTTTCCTTTCTAATGCCATTATTTTGCTCAGTTCTTTCATGTATTTTACGTATTTCATTTTGAATATGTGGTGATAATTAATAAAACAAATGTTTACTTGTAACATGAAAGTTAGTCAAAGCAATGCCTAAAATAGGAAAAGAACAAAATAAAGGCCCACCGTATGTACACATATGCTTACATGTGTATGTATTGAATACCTGTGTGGCAACACATGTAAAGAAGATGGTTTTGTTTATTTGTTAGTACTTTGAAATAGGCTCTCATGTAGCCCAAGCTAACGCTGAACCTGCTATGTAATCAAGGTTAGCCCTAAACTCCTAACTTTGGTTTTAGTCTACCAAGTGTTATGACTATAGGCATTGACTACTGCACCCAGCTTGGTTTTTGTTGTTGTTGTTGTTGTTTTGTTTCTTTTATATTGTAGTCTCTACTGGCCTGGGACTTTTCAGTATGGCCGAGGCTGTGTGGCCAGACCATCCAGCGCAGTCCTCCTGCCTCGGCCTCCCTGTAAATCAATCATGCAAATATTCAAGTTCTTTACGTTTACAACGTATTAGTTTTTTAGGTGAATTTATTTAATTTGGTATTTTTATTGTTTGTTTGTTTGTTTGTTTGTTTTGAGACAGAATTTCCTTAGGTAACCCAGGTTGGGCTTGAATTTGAGAGCCAGTTTTAGCTTCCTCAGTCCTAGGATTTTAGTTGTGTGTCACCACACCCAGTCTAGTTTGTGTTACTTAATAGTTCTTGTTTTTTAAGTATTGATATTTTAAAGATTCTGAATCTTCTAATCTCTCGTTTTTGAGATGTGATTAACTGAAATCTAGCAGACTGTTAAAGAACTATTCTTTTTAAATTATGTTAATGTTGTTTAAATGTTAAAAATAACATTTACAGATTGCATGTGACTAGAAGCCTATGACTTCAAATGTTAGACTCCAGTTGGGTATTTGCTGCTTGCCTGGAGAACCAACTGTGTGGGATGCTAAGGCAGGGAGAATCCCTTGTGAGACACCCATCTCACAAACCAACAAAAACAAAACAATGGGTTCTAGAAAGGTACACTGTATCAATACATATCATTATTTTAGTCATCTGTTACACTCACATAAAATACATAAGATATACTAGTTCTATTTCCTGAACATTTCTGCCCGGATACTCTAAACTTATTTGCTAAGCTTCTCTTTCACTATCAGACCGTCCTTAAGAATCTTCCCCTTGCCAGGTGGTGGTGGCACACCTTTAATCCCAGCACCCAGAAGCAGGGGTAGGCAGATCTCTGTGAGTTCAAGGCCAGCCTGGTCTGCCGAGAGAGTTCCAGGACAGGCTCCAAAACCACAGAGAAACCCTGGCCCCCCAAAAAAAAAAAACAAAACAAAATCCGCCCATTGTATTAACAGAGTGAAATAAATGCTCTGTAATTCTTTGTTTGTAGTATTGGATGTGATTAAGTTCCGTTCTGAAAGATATAACTTTGAAAATCTGACTTTTAAAAAGATGTTTTTTGTGTGTGGGTGTTTTTGCCTGTGTTCATGTATACCATGTGCATGCATTGCCTGAAGAAGCCAAAAGAGGACAACGTAGCCCCTGGAACTGTAGTTACAGATGGTTGTGAACTGCAGTGTGGATGCAGAGGCTCAGACACGGGGCCTCTGGAAGAGCAACTAGTGTCATCTCTCCGACCCTAAACTCTTATTATTTACTGCTTGTGGGAGCTAACTTTTCTCTAAGCCAGACAAATCTTTTTTTTTCCTCACTGTTCTCAAAGAATTGAAAACAAGGGATTATTACTATTTTTCATACTGAAGATTGAACCCAGGGTCTTGGTCATGTTAACCCCATGCTCTACCCAGTTTCTGAAAAAGGCATTGATGTTCATTCATATCAAGTTACTTTCCTCATGTGTACATTATTTTTAATAGCAACTTATAAAAATAATCATGTAATTAAAGCTAGAAAATAGCTTCAGATGTTGTCTTAGTTAGGGTTTCTGTTGCTGTGATAAAACACCATGCCCAAAACACCTTGGAGAGGAAAGGGCCTTGTAACTCTCAGGTCACAGACCATCTCTGAAGGAAGTCAGAGTAGGAACCTGGAGGCAGGAACTGAAGAATAGGCCAAGGAGGATCAATGCTTATTGGCTTTTTCTTGTACAATCCAGGACCACTTGCTCAGGGGTGGCACCACTCACGTGGACTGAGCCCTCCCACATCAATCATCAATCAAGAAAACACCCCACAAGTGTATACACAAGCCAGTCTGGGGGGGCCATTCCTCAACTAAGGCTCCCTCTTCCCAGATGAGTCTAGACTGTGTCACGATGACATAAAACAGGCAGTACGGAGGTGGATGTTTGACACAGTAGACACAGAGACATCCCCGCCCCCTTGATATTTGCTGCTTGTGCACATCTGAGAGCTCAGGAAATGTTTCTTCAGAGAATAAGGGGTCCCAGCTAAGTGACCAGGTCCATAGTCCACAATTCAGGTTCCCCTTTCAGTCTCCTCATGTGGTGGCACTTTTCATTTGAACAGGTTTGTGTGAGTTAGCAATGATGCCTAAGCTTCAGGTTTCTGGCCCCATTCTATTTTTGAGTATTTACTCTTGTAACATAGTTGAAATATGCATTTATAATACAATTTGTAAAGATAATTTGGTATAACTTTAGTATAAAGTATGTAATTAGTACCAGACATGGAGGTGCCATATCCTTAATCCCAGCATTTGGGAGTCAAAGGCAGGCAGATCTCTTCGAGTTCAAGACCCACCTGGTCTACAAAGGAAGGTCCAGGCCAGCCAAAGCTAAATAGTATGACCCTGTCTCAAAGCGAGAAAATGAAGCAAAAACAAAGAAAACTCCCAAAGTATAATTAGTCATTTCTTCTATTTATAAAATTTCTACTTTTATGTATATTTGAAAGGATACAGCTTTAAACTTCAAGGGATTTTTTTTTAAGTGTCTTAATGCCTTTTCTTTACTGAAATTGTCTTACTTTTTTTGTACCATTTTTTTCTGCTGTGAAATACACTCCCTCCCACCTAGTGAAATGCTGCGATCCTGGGCTTTCTCTGTGTCCAGTGTCCGCTGTGAATGACTGTCCGTGTTTATGTTGCAGTTCTCAGAAGCAGAGTCTGGAGCTCACGAGTGACCTCAGCATCCTGCAGATGACCAGGAAAGAGCTCGAGAACCAAGTGGGATCCTTGAAAGAGCAACATCTTCGTGACTCAGCTGACTTAAAAACTCTTCTCAGTAAGGCTGAAAACCAAGCAAAGGATGTTCAGAAAGAGGTAAAGCGAAAAGACATGCTCAGCCCAATTATGGTTGGACTTAAAGCCAAAGGCAAATCAGATATCCATGCTACTTAGAAATAAAGAAAAGCAGAAAGCACATTACCTGGCAGTTGACACTTGGAGCATCCCACCCAGCCTGGTAATTACTAGCTGTGCGTCACGATCCCTATCGACAGGATTGATCTAGTGTTTGCTCTCACACATACAGACATAAAAGCTAGTTTTTAACTTTTCTCTGTTGACATGAGAGACCCTTTGTAGCAGATCGCTTGGTCTATTTAAGCATCAAAGAGTGTGCAATAATAAATGAAGCATTCTTTTGGAAGGCAAATTGCAATCTAGGACAGCATCGTAGCTGGAGCTATATGCTCCTGGGAAAGTGGCTAAGACGGTGACTCGTGCTTGTCATTCCAGCGCCTGGGGGCTGAGGCAAGGGATAGCGATGAGTTCAAGGCTTTGTTGGTTACACAAGTATATATACAGATGGGCAAGGTGATGGACACCTACAGTCCCAGCACTTGGGAGGTAGAGCAGGAAAATCAGGAGTTCAAGGTCAGCCTCAGCTGCGTAGTGCGTTTGAGAATAGCTTAAGCTGCATCAGATCCATGTCAGAAAACAAACAAGAAGAAAAAAATGACTTAAAATTCACCTATATACAGACAGCCAAATGCCTGTTCTGTGGCACTGTATATCCCACCCCCTACTTTCTCTTGGTCTTCACAAATATACACACTTAAGTTTTCATGTGATTTTGTTTATACCTCAATTCCATTAATTGTGGAATAATCGTGTTAATGATGGTAAAAGATTGACTTTGGAAGGGACCTACCCCAGGTCGTTCTGAACAGGATAAGTAAAGCTGACCACGGGGCAGTAAAAGTTGTGTTCGCTCCTGCTGGCCTTCCTGCACTGACGCCTGACCAGCTCAGGTTAATAAAGCCTGTCTGCTCATCAGGAAGCTCCAGCTGGAGGCTTGCTGACAGGCAAGATTCTTCATGAGATAGAAGGAAGTGAAAGATAAGTCTTGTCTTTTAAAATGAATTTTTTAAAAGTTGTTTTTAGGAAATAAAATGTGAGTTTCTCTCTGCACTTCCCCTGGAGCATTCTGAGTTTGGAAATGATTGTTCTTCTGTCTCTGTGCTTGTTTCTGAAGGAATAAAGCTGCAAAAGTTTTATACTCATGTAGACACACTGATTTTGAAATGTTCTGCTTTACCTGGTTAAGGATGTGTATTTTAGAAGCATCCTCATTTGGTTGAAACACAAATTTTGTGCCAAAGTAAATATCCTAATATTTAATACTGTAAGCACGTTGTGCCCTTCCAGTCCATGTGCCATAGTTCTTTCAATATTTGGGAAGAATTTGTGGTGGGAAGATTATTCTGTTGTATGTTACTATGAATACATTAGCCATTTGTTGCATTATTTGTTTGCCTGCTCTCAGTTACTGAATAATCAATGCCAAATGCTTTAACTGTTTCACAAATGGCAGTGGCATGTTGTCACAGCATCTCAAGTGTTGCTAGTCTTTGGATTGCATTAAATGCAGCATATTTGAAAATAGTCTGAGCTTGTTAGTATGTTCTTTCCTATTTTCTTGTTCATTGTTTTTCATTGTGAAATGATGTATAGTCATCATATTTCTTTGTAATGTGAAATTGCTCTGTTTGTCCTTCTGTCAACATATTGGCTACTAATCTGTAAGTAAAAGGATTTTAATGAGGTTTTTATCTCTATAATATACTACAAATACATTATTATTTTTTAGTAATGTATACTTACTTCTTTTCAACATTTCGCTTTGCTCTCCTTTCTCTCTTGGAATCATGCTTACTGTACTCAAAAATACTGATCATGTGTCTTCAGTGCTATAAGAGGTTGTTAAACTATTGTAATCTGAGCAGCCCTACATATGATTATTTTTTTGTGAAGAAGAGTCACAGGTGTTGGTAATATGTTGTATTTCTCTCTTAAGACCAAGCTCACTGGTTACTTCAAAGTTAAAAAGCAAGAGGGAACAGAAGTGATATCCAAGCAAGGTGTAAAAAAACCTAAGACTGCAGAAGGTGACCTTTGTTCTGCTTGTTAAAGCTTTATCTATGGTAATTTTAATATAAATAACTCCAAAGAAAAAGCATGAAAAATAATTCTCAAAAGTTAAAGAAAAGAATTGTACATTATCTTTATATTTGATTTTATAAAGCATCTATATATTTTAATTTAGTGAGAATATCTATGATCCAAGAGTTCAACCAGTGTGTGGCAAATACTGGCAATCTGCACACTTAGGAAGCTGAGATAGGTCTTGAGTTGGTGCCAGCGGGGCTGCATAGATTCTGTCTCAAAGAAACCAACCAACCAACCAGCACATACATAAAACATTGAACATCTACCTCTGCCCTGACAAGCCTGACACAGGGTTGGTGTTTGGCTCCCTGTCTTCCTGCAGGGCCAGCGTCCTCCCCACGCACTGCTGTGCCTGAGGTAAGCAGCAGTGTCCCGTGACTGCACTGCTTTCCTGTGCGGCTGCTTCGCCCTCCTGAATTGGAGAGACGATGCAGGGGGCAATCTGGATGTAAAAGTGGTGGAAAGGGAAGGAGAGGAAACGTTGGGTTGACAAAGCACCTTTGACTTATCCTTTATTAGCACTGTTGGGAACTGATTTACAATCACTGAAAACTGATTGCACTCTAAGGTGCAAAAGTTAGCCTAGAATCACTGACTTTCCTTGGCAGCCTCCCAGTAACCTTTTATCTTCTGGGAGAAATTCACAGACCCTCACATCAACTGAAAAAAGCTGTCACAAACAAAGCCTGTGAAATTTAGTCTTTGGTTCATTTTCTAGTGTATTTCCCAGGGCTGTTCCGGGAATGTTTTTAGGTTCAAAAAAAAAAAAAGAAAAGAAAAAAAAAACCTCGGCAAATGTGGCTTCCTTTTAATTACCAGAAAATCCACTTAGTCCTAACACTGCCATTAATTAGGATTTCTATCTACCTGTTTGTCTTCTGCTCAAAGAAAAAATTTTCAGCTTTCCCTCTTCTCACTTGATGGAAGAAGTGACCTTTTATATTATAAGCAGGTGGCAACACGGTATGTTTTATTCTTTGATTTTAACACCAGGGCAAGAAAGTCATTACATAGAGTTAAGCCAGCATTAAAAATTTCGTACTGTGAGTACCAGGGACTTACCTTCTTGACACAGAAGGGCTGGACTTTGGTGTTCAGAGTTATTAAACAGTGCCTGGTGTACACCATTTTAAGTCAAGCCTGCACACTCTTTTTCTCTTTACCTTTAGTATGAAAAGACACAGACTGTCCTCTCAGATCTGAAGTTGAAGTTTGAAATGACTGAGCAGGAAAAGCAATCAATCACAGATGAACTCAAACAGTGTAAAGACAACCTGAAGCTGCTGCGAGAGAAAGGAAATAACGTAAGTGTTTGCCACCAGCTCGGCTTCCGTCGGGAGGAGTGTCGGGGGCTGACCGTGTCTGTCAGAAGCCTTCACTGTGATCTGGGTACAGAAGAAGTCAGCTTCTCCTTATGGATCTCTGTGATAGAACTGTTGTGTCACGGGATTTCTTTCTTTTTAAGTACGAACCCCTTTAACTTACACCCCCAGAAAAGCTTGGTTCCTGCTTGGTGGAAAACAAGTATCAGTGAAACAACTTAGAAAACCCATCTGGTTTACCCAGACGGGTCTGAATTTGTCACTGAGGATCACCTGACTTGTTTCTGTCCACCCAGAGCCATCTAGGAGACGTGGTACACACTGGGCCTTAGCCTTAGGTTGTCTCAGAAAGCGGAGCTTTAGAACAATTTTCATTTTTCTACTAGTAATGTCCATTCCTAAAAGCTTTCTGTTTATTTGGCATCTATCTATCAGTAATTGATAAATCGATGTAGAACTCTCTAGTGTGTGTTTGAGAGAGAGGTGGGGGCTGGTGGGCACAGAGGTGGGAAGAGCATTCAGCTGTCAGATTAGTTTGATAACACTTGTTTCTCCCTGGGAAGAAAGGTCTTTAAGGTGAAGTTACACTAAATAAATGTCCTGTTGTTTGTGGTGATCGTTGCCTTTGTGGGCCCTAACTGACGATGTTGGCTGTGGTTGCCTGTGCTCTGAGGCTCACTCCACCTCTCACAGCTGGACACTGCAGTGCACGTGAGCCACATGCTTCCTGTGCTGCCTGACTTGCAGCACACGTGCAGACGAGTTTCATTGCATGGCCATCCAGTTATGTAGTTTTCACAGAATGCTCATGAGTTGTGTCCAACTGTCCTTTGCTTACTAAAGTTACAAGTTTTAGGCAACAAAAAATTGCTGGTTAGGTAGGAGCCCTTTGGAATCCGAAGGGTTTATGCTAAACAGAAGTGGATTGCGTTTATTTCTTAATGCGCAGAATATAGAAGTCTTCTAAACTCAGATCGTAATGATTTGATACTTTTCCTTTTGTGTTAGTTCATATCTGACTATAGAGTTTCAGTCCACTTCTTGCTAAATTAACCTACAAAGACATCTTGCATGATCAGAATGACCCTTCCCGTGATGTTACTGTTTATAGTTGTATAAAACTATTCACCTTCAGAATGAATTTACCTTTTTCATTATATAGGCTTATATATCCAAGTAATTCCTTTCCCCTTAAAAAAAAATCAGATATGTTTAGGATAAAGGAAAGTTGTGAGCTTTGGCTGCCTGTCTATCAGACATATGCCATGCCTATTGCTCATCAAGTTCACATTATCACAAAACATGTATTTTTCAGCTTTAAAAGAATACCATCTCAAAAGTGAAAAGAATTTTGGTTGGAAGGAAATTGGATTTCAATGGAAGAACAAAATATACCCTGTCCGTTGCCATGGGAACATATCTATCAATTAGTGGGCTTCATATATGAAACAAAAAGACTATATTGTCAAACAGAGCATTGCTTGATAAACTGTTGTCGCTGCTCTGTCTGAGACTGTCATGTTTCGTTAGGACACGTGCATTGACTATTACCTCCAACCGTTCCTATTAAAGTCGTAGTTTCTTAGCATAGGTATCATAGCCCGTCATTCTGGATTGTGTTGGATGTCTTTCAGATGTTTAAATTGGTGCAAACCTGAGTGGTGTACTTCTGTTACTTCAGTCTTCCTCTCCTTCTCCAACCACCCCCTGGGGTCTAAATCATCTTATCTGATTTTTTACATAGCATAAAATGATTTTAATATCCCTTCCCTTCTTCAGCCCTCCATATTACAACCTGTCCCAGCCGTATTCATCGGCCTATTCCTGGCTTTCCTGTTTTGGTGTTTCGGTCCGTTGTGGTAGAGAAAGGTACAAGCACTACTGTTGAGTCTTGTCTGTTCGTCCCTGTCACCCGTTCGTGCCATATTTGTAGTAGAGTGCATGGCAAAACCACAAAGATATTTTGTTACCTGACGCAAACCCTTCATTTAGTTTGCTATGTATCTGTGTCATACTAATGAACAAATCAACTAATCACATAACATTGTGTCTTGTTTCTTTTGTAGTAGTACTAACCATGAAATAACCCCATGCTAACCTGTTGTTGAAATGCTTCCTATAACCGAGTCTTTATCTCTAGCAAACTGGAGTAAGCAGTGAATTTCTGCAGTATCACCACCTATATCCCAGTTATGTGTTCAATCAGATTTGAATGAGAAATGAAGAGTTTGCATCTTTGAAATTTTCAGCCAGCTATATTACCCTTCTTTTCTTCCCTTCCATGGTGTGGAGTTTTCTTTAATCCTTTGCCTGTTTGCTGTGAAGATGAAAGAAAGTGAGATTAGTGTAATGAACCATTGGCTCACAATTTCAACACCAGTGAGAATTTACTTCTATAATATAAGTAAACTCTACGACAAGCCTTTTTGAGCTGATCTGCAAGTTAAGAGTAGTTTTCAAGAGTACTATCAGAATATCGGTAGGAATAAAGGTAGCAACCAAAGTAAATGGATTGTATAAATCCTCTGAAAGCTGATTGGGAAGCCCATCTGTGCCTCGCCTTTAACTGGTAATCAAGCATGCTTATCAGAAGAACCTGCAGCAGGGCCTCAGTGCCCCTGTCCTTGGAACCTCAGCTGATTCATGTCTTCTTTGGTTTCAAGTTCCAGGATCAAGCCTGCATCATTTTCTTTCTACCCCATCTTATAACTCTGGTTTTCATAAAAACAGACTTTTCGGCAGAAGTATACCGCAGGTGCACAGTAAATGCTGCAGACGCATTCTAGAATTTAAGGTGTAACTACAAAGTTTCAACTGTAACAAAGTTGAAAATTGTCCAGGACTTTCCTGGGATGTTCAGGCTTCCAAACAATGCCCTGCTAGTATGGTTCTCCCTCGTTTTCCTTTCTTTCTACATGTAGCCTTTACCATGCAAGGGCAGAGTTTTCCGGTGGTCTTTTAAGTATGTGGGACTCAGTTCATCCAGGGTTAAACAGTATGAAAGGAGAGGGGAGAACGCGATATTGACTCTTGGTTTCTCTCCACACAGAAACCCTGGCCCTGGATGCCCATGTTGGCGGCCCTGGTTGCGGTGACAGCCATCGTGCTGTATGTGCCGGGTCTGGCCAGAGCTTCTCCGTGACAGTGTCTTGAGTCTGTACACCATCCTCCTTCTAGAAGCTGGCATCACACTCATGCTGGGACAAGCAGAACCATTTTCTTCTTTTTTACCTCTTAAAACAGCAAAGTGCGAGAATACAGCTATAGGGTCATTGCTTTAACTTATATGAAAATATATCTGTCTATAGAGAGGATATAAAGTTGTGAATTTATTCGGTTTTTCATGTAATTTTTAAATTAGTATGTTGAGAGTCTGAATATTATGGTGGCCTAAAGTAGGTTTCTTAGTTCACCAAATTATTTATACCATAAATTTATAAATATTTTACTCTGAATTCTGATGGCCACATAATTCATTTTTCTGATTCAATCACTACTCAAACCGAACAACCAATACATACATGGGAAGAGAGGCCCTGTGTGCTCAGTGCCTATCAGTTTGAATATATATACACACTCACATATATATATATATTTTTTTTACATATGTATGCCATTTTTACTTGTTATAAAACCACTGAGCTATTGGGAACAAGACTTAGACAATTATTTGTGTGGATTTTTTTTTTTAAGGAAAAACACATTTGGAAAATACTCTGTTCTAATGATAACTTGGGAAATACATACATGTTTGTTCAGCCTTAATGTGACTTGAAGATGTGAAGGACATCAGCTTTGAAAACTTTCCATGAGAGTTTGTATTTTCTTGAGCAAACTGAAATATTTCTGGGAGCAAAAACACAGTTGCATAATTTCAGTGCAATCAACCAAACTGTTGAGTAAATTGGAGTGTAACTTACTAAACCTCATGTATTTAAGAAATGTTTTCTTTAAACACCAAGTTACCTTCTCATAATACAGCAGTTTAGAAAGCATGATTTTTTTTCTGTCATCTGTTCCTCCATGCATGTTTAATTGAAGGAAGAATTATATCTGTTTAGATAAGCTTTTGTTGATTTAATTTGGTTATGATGTGGCGCTAATTCACATTCAAGGTGAACTGATGTTACCTACCAAGATTTCTTGCTTGGATATACAAATGGTTATTTCTTTTTATTGTTCATCGGGACAGCCTGTTAATTAGTAGCACTATTCCCAAGATTGGTAGTGTTTCTTGCACAGTGACACACCTAAGCACTGCTTGACATTATCCATTTAAAACACAGAGGTTAAAGTTCAGCTATGGTTTTGTGCAGCACCATAGTGATGTCAGTATCCTAAAGCATCACATAGTTCAGTTTTCTTCAGTCAGACTGGGAGGGAAAGTTGGTGAATTGGCTGGAATGTTCTATGAGAATACCCAGATCTAGCCAGATACTGAGATATCTGGCTAGGATATAATTTGCCTCATGATGTTTTGCGGTTATTGTTTTTACTTTCAAAGTTGTATTTAAAGCTCTTTGGGGTCGTTGCTGGGAGAATCACTAGATTTATGGAGGAATTAGCCACAAATGACTTGTAGAAAATACTGTCATATAGTTCATGTTACCATTCTCTGTTGCAGGAAGCCACTCCACCACAGAATGCTCATACGCCAGTGGTACCCAGTACCTCTTGTATATAGTTATTGCAAATACTGTTCTGAAATGCATAACTTCAAAATTACCTTTTTTAAAGTAAATAATTGTTTGAAATCTATTTTGTAAAGATAAAACGTACAATAGAATTTCTGGAGTACAGATTAAACTATTTGCACTAACACACGTGATGTGCATGATTTAATAAAATAACTTTAATCTCCCTATGCATGTTTGAGTTGTATGTAATTGGAGTCTTAGTGCTGGCTCTGCCATTCAGGTGTCCCTAACCTTTGCTTGACGTGACTTGTGTTAAACATATGTTAGATGTTTGTCAGGGTTTAAAAGAAACAAGAGCAGTTTCCTCCCGAGTTTTAATTAATTTACTGTTGTACCTTTTCTTCTTTTAATATGATTATTGTTAAAATGTGACTCCCTTGCCAGGCTAATGCTATCAAATGTAAGGCCTGGTGTCAATATTTACTTTACTCAAATCAAATAAATGGGATTTTGTAGTTATTTCCGGTTTTTCCTCAAGAATATAAATAAGCCTGTTCATAAGCAGCACCTCCAGTTTCCTTCCAAGTTAAACAGAGCAGGATGTCACAAGTGGGGACGCTCACTAACGCTTAGGTGCAGCAGTTAGAAGTTGTGTGTTAGTTCAAGGCCACACTGGACTACTTAGTAAGACCTTGTCTCATGACAATGGCAAAACCAAATGAAAGAACGCGGTTTTTACTAGGGTACACACCTCTACTGACTCTCATCTCTGAGCTTATCATCTTTATCAGAAGGAGATCACTTCATTTTCTTGGAGTTTCTATTCCATTATCTAGAAACAGAGAAGAAAAATATCTCTATGAGCTCGGATTTTTGAGCAAAAAAATAGTATATTCTCTCTTTAATTATCAGACTTACCTCAGCTCTCCGCCCCCGATGAGATAGATTTTCACTTAGCAGCACAAAGGAAAATTCCAGGGCCCCCGCTGATGGTCTGCGCTTGAGCAAAAGCACTCTGCATTTTTTATACAGTTTTTGTTGCTGGGAGGCAGGAGCAAGCCAGCAGGTTTATAAGGCCAGTGAAATTCAGTTAGCGAAGCTTAATCCACAGGTTTTTTTTAAAGTTTAAAATAATAGGTATGGTTTCAAGTGTGCCCAGGTTTGAATGACTTTGAGCGAATGCTATCTCCTCCCTGTGACTGCGCCTTCCTTACAGCACACTGAGCCTGGGTACAGAACAATTTAGCCCTGGAAAAGATGTCTTTCTCCTAGGTCGCATCACCCCACTATGAGTTTTGGCTTCCAGTGGTTGTGATGTCTGCTGTCAAAATCTGCAAGATCTACTGAGGTAAAAATGCAAGCTTACTCCAAAAATGTACTTCCAGGAATTGGTTATGTACACAAAGTTTCAGCTACAAGGACAGTTAGTGTGGGAATTTTGTAAGATAGATGATCAAAATGTCCAAGGGGGTCGCACAAAGATGGGGTCAGACCACCAAATCTAATAAACTTTATTCCTGGAAAAAAATAAACACCGTGGGGCACAAAAAGCTTATCAGCTAGCTGAGACCAACCACAGCCAGAGATGGATTTGTAAGGCTGTGACCCCGACTGATCTCTAAATCTACCTTCTTATATATAGTAGGGGACACCAAGCATTAGGTCTGAACAAAGGACTTTTTTGCAGTATTGAGGTAAAACTCAGATGCAGATTGCCTTCTTTCACAATCTTCCTTAACAGAGGTTTTCAGTTAAGCTAGTGTTGTACTTAATCTGTTGTCTTTCCTGATGTTCCCAGGTGTTTACTGAAGCTCTGCGCTCTCCCCTGTGATGCTGCGAGTTTCACAGAGCAGGGATAGTGCACAATCCAGAGGTCACGTATATCCACCTCCTAAAGGTGAACTCAGCTCATCTCCATCGTTAATCACGGATGGCCGGGGTGTTCTCTTAGGGCTAATATCAGTTTGCAGAGATGCTTGGGTCTTGTGAATGGACTGTGGGTTGCTGACAGTCTGCTTTTGTCCTCCTAGGCGTACAACTTTATATTCCTTCATTTCTACACTCTTATTTCTGGAATCTACATTTTTATATTCTTACTCTTGGACTCTTCAGTCATTGGCTAACGCAGTTGTTAGTGCCACACTAAAGATTATATACTATGTATTGTGTCCGCTGAACCTGGGATCTGAGGACCTGAAAGAACGGCCGACTACAGTCTAATGCTGTGGGCAACCTTACTTCAGTTTCAGTGTACTTTTACTCTAATTTATTTTTGAGACAGGGTTTTTCTGTGTAGCCCTAGCTGTCCTAGAACTCTCTTTGTAGATCAGACTGGCCTCCAACTCATGGGAATCCACTTGCCTCTGCCTCCCGACTGCTGGGATTAAAGGCGTGCGCCACCACCATCTGGCTCGGTATACGTTTATACACAAATGTAACAAAGAAAGCAGTGATCCAAGAAAGGTTGTTTGAGTTTAGAAAAACATGTAAATAAATGCCAATAAGCACTAAATATTAACAGAGCAGCCCTTTCCCAGACAGACAGTTTAAAGAGTTGCCTGACAGGCACTATAGATCACACCTGGGAAGGGAAAGCATGAAAGCAGGACAGAAGGCCATAGCTAGATTCAGGGTACACTGACCAGATTGAGTTCTGACATCCAACAAGAATAAACATGTCTTATCAATTGATTGTAATGTTGCCACAGGGGTCAGGAAATCACATCCAAGAACAATGGGGGGGAGGGGGCTGGAGAGATAGCTCAGTGGTTAAGAGCATTGCCTGCTCTTCCAAAGGTCCTGAATTCATTTCCCAGCAACCACAAGGTGGCTCACAACCATCTGTAATGATGTCTGGTGCCCTCTTCTGGCCTTCAGGCATACACGCAGACAGAATATTGTATACATAATAAATAAAAAAGAACAATTCAGGGAACAAATACACCTGAAGTAAAAGGCCTTCTGCCTTTTTTCCTGGACAGTCTCTCACAGTTCCCCAAGACATTGTTCCTTTTGACCAATTTTACCCTTTGTCCATCAGCAAGACATGCACACTCCCACAAGGACAGGCTCCCCACTCACAAGACACGCCCCATCCCACAAGGACACGCCCACTCCTGAAATGACACCGGTTCCAAACACCAGGCCACGCCCCTCCTGCATCAACACACTCCTTCCCTAAGGCCACGTTCCCTCCCTCAAGGACACACACCTCAATAAGGACCTACTCTGGTCCCCAATGACTTGCTCCCTCACCGAAGGACACACCCCCTCAAACAGGGACAAGCCCCTCTCAAAGAGGGTGGTTTCGCAAGACCATGCCCCATTCATCAAGACACACCTCTCCCAAAAGGACACACCCCCTCATAAAAAAGGCACACCCTCCAATAAGGAAACGCCCCCTTATATAAGCCATGCCTCCTCCAATAGGAGGCTTCCCTCCTGTCACAAGGACACACCACCTCCCTTAGCACACACTACTGCCACAAGGACCTGCCCCCTCCCACAAGGATGCGCTCCTCCCAGAAGAAGACACCTACCCTCACAAGGACATGCCTCCTCTCTAGGACACGCCCCTCACAATGAATCGCCTCCTCCCACAAAGACAAACCTCTCCCACAAGGACACACCATTCCCATAATAACATTTCCCCCCTCACAAGACACAACCACTTCCACAAGGACACGCCTACTCTCACAAAGACACACCTCCTTCAGGGAAAAACCCCTCCCACAAGGACACTCATCCTCTAATGACATGGTCTCTCTCACCAGGACACACCCCCTCCCACAAGGCCATGCCACCTACCATAAGGCCACAACCCCTAACACAAGGACATGCCCCCTTCCTGAATGACACGCCCTTTCTCAGAAGAACACGCCCCATCTAACAAGGACACGCCCCATGCCTCAGGACACACCTCTTACAAGAAAATGCCCAGTCCACTCCCTCAAGATCACGTCCCCCCACAGGAAGGACACAACCAATCCCACAAGGACAAAGCTGGAGGATATGCCCCCTCCTGCTAGAACTGGCCGCCTCCCATAAGTACACCCCCCCTCTGAGAACACATCCCCTCACAAAGACACGCCCCCTTCCAAAAGGAAACACCTCCAGCAATGATACACTTCTATCCAAAGATACTCCCCTTCCCACAAAGATACTCCCCTCTCACAAGACCACGCCTCATCCCTGAAGACACACCCACTCCACTTGACCCTACCACAAGGATGTGCCCACTCCTACAAGGATACACCGCCTCCCAAAAGGACACGCCCCATGACAATGACACGCCTACTTCCACAAGGACACTCCCCCTCAAGGAGGTGCCAACTCCCTCACGGAAACACCTGCTCCCATAAGTACACACCCCATCCAAAAGGACACACACTCTCTCACAAGGATGTGCCTGCTCTCAAAAGACAGGTCCTCTCCAACAGGGACACACCCACTCCAACAAGAACACGCCCTCCCTCAAGGACACGCCCCTTCTCACAGGACATGCCCTTCATACAAGACAAATCCCTCCAATAAGGACACAACTTCTGTCACAAAGACATAACCCCTCCCACAAGGACACACCCCTGTAACGCCTGTGTTCGCAAGCCAGTGTTCCATACTCCAGCCAGGCAAGGGCCTGGAGATTGAAAGAACACACAAGAGACCTGGGTCATTCAAAAGGAGATCAGCCGAATGTCGTTTATTCAAACTTAGGGAAAACCTTAAATACCGAACTGCTGCACAATGGAATATATCCCCCCCCCCCGGCAGGTGGGAAATTACTATGCCCAAGGTGGGTCAACAGTGCCCTACCTATAGCTAATCACCCAGCGGGGCAGAGAGAGCACAGGAACAAACAGGAAACGCTGGCTGCCCAGAAACTGTCCTCAAAATGAACCCCGGGAGCAGGGGTAGACCCATGGGCCCTGCACACCCCATCAATAAAGGACACGCACCCTCAATAAAGGACATGCTTCTTCCTACAAGGATACACCTCATCCCACAAGAACATGCCACTTCCCACAAGGACACAGGTGGAAGAATGCTTGCTTCTTTTCCTAGAAAAGTGTGGTGAGCCCACAAATATACAGTAGATGTCAGCAGACCGATCTATTGGACTACCCTTGGGCAGTGTATACGACGTACACTCCACCTGGAGAACCCGTTTTTGTAGAGTTACGGGGGACATCTATTCTTTGGATAAGTCACTGTCAATTCTGTAAAAGTT